TTAGTAGAGACAGGGTTTCACCATGTTGGCCAGGCTGGTCTCAAACTCCCGATCTCAGGTGATCCACCAGCCTCGGCCTCCCAAAGTGCTGGGATTATAGGCGTGAGCCACCGTGCTTCTTCTTTTTTGTGAGAGACAGAGTCTCATTCTGTCACAGAGGCTAGAGTGCAGTGGTGCAAAACATCCTCAAACTCCTGGGCTCAAGTGATCATCCCACCTCAGCCTCCCAAGTAGCTGGGATTACAGGCGTACACCATGAAGTCTGGCTAATTTTTTTTTTTTTTTTTTTTTTTTTTTTTTTTTTGTAGAGATGAGGTCTCAACTATGTTGTCTGGGCTGGTCTTGAATTCCTGGGCTCAAGCAATCCTCCTGCCTAAGCCTCCCAAAGCACTGGGATTATAGGCGTGAGCCACCATGCCCAGGCACACATTTTTCTCTTTACAACTCCCTTTGCCCCTCCACTCCCATGCAGCCTGAGGCCTCCACTCCCACAGAGGTGTGGGATGCGCTCACTCCTCTGCCTTCCCTACCCTCAGTCCTGGGTCCAGGTAGAGCCGCGTGTAGAACAGCTGGTCATCGTCATCATCCTTGTATTTCCACTGGCGCACGATCTGGTGGATGGTGGTGGCAAAGCCGATGAATCCTGGTGGGGAGCGGAAGTGTTGACCCCGAGACTCCCAGGGTCCCAGGGCCTGTCCCCCAGGCCCTCTCCAGCCCTCAGGCACCTTTAACACTCTGTCCCACCGCTCTTGGCCCCTCTGCCTTGGGCACCTTGCCACTCACCACCAGAGTTGAGGAAGCGCTTCCCCGTGCCCACCTCAGGGTACTGCTCCGCCAGCCCCCACTCGGGCCAGCAGAAGCTCTCCGCAGAGAACAGCAGGCGGCTGCCACTCTGGACGAACTTCTTCAGCAGCTCTGAGGGGCTGCCGGCCAGAATCACATCGTAGCTGGGTGAGGAAGAGGAGGATGAGCAGAGGTCCACTGGGAACCTCGGCATCCTTACCTTGCTCCCTATCCCTAGCCCCGTTACCTGTCCACAAACATGATGATCATATCCTCCCGGTCAGCGTATTTCTCCATTTCCTTCTTGAGCCACCGGACCTTCTGTCCTCCACCGACTGTTCGGGCCACATCACCCCCTCGCCACTCCTCTCCGAGGCCCAGGGTCTGTGGAGAAGATGCCTCATGCCAGGCAAGGGGTGGGGAGTTGTAGGAGGGGGGAAGCTCCTGACCAGGCTCACCGTGGGGACCTGGGCATCCAGACTTCAGCCCACCCCTCCTGCTGGGACCCCCTCCCAGAGGCTTTTCCCTCTCCTCACCCGCACGGTGTAGTTGAAGAACTCCGCAGAGCGCAGGAACCGCAGGTACCCCTCGGTTTCAGCTGTGGCCACAGTCATTACCAGCAGCTTCTCTGTTACCAGAGGGAATTGGCACTTGGGATCCAACGCCCAGCTCCGGGCCCCACGTGCTTTGCTGTCCTCCCTCTCACTCGACTTCCCTCCCTTTCCTCCTTCCCATTCTTAAACTCTTCTCACCCAGGAACACTCTGACCCCAGGGAGGACAGGGTGGGAGTGGCGCCCAGGAATTCCGAGTCCGTTTGCACAGGGAGGCTGGAAACCTCAGTTCAGGGTGGTAATGTGCAAGGGGCTTGGCGCGACTCAGCCCCAAGAGCACGCTGGGCGGCGGACGGGCCAGACGCCTCCTCGAGCCCCCGACCGTCTCCGGACCAGGCTGGCAGGCACGTCAGCCTCTGCGCGCTCGGCCGCGCCGGGCCTCCCCGGGATCTCACCTGGGTTGACTGGGTCTCGGCCCCGGGGCCGGTCGGAGGCTGAGGCCGCAGGAGGCAGCAGCAGCAGCAGCAGGAGCCGGAGTCCTGGCCCCGAGGAGGTCATGGTGGGGAGCGGGCCCAGACAGCACCCAGGATCCTGGGACCTCAGCTACGCGCCTGGATCCCAGCTCCGGAGGGGAGCTCCGGGAACGGGGCGCTCGGGCTGCTGTGCAGCCGCCGCCGGGAGCAGCTGGGCTGGGGCCACGCCCTGGAAAAAAGGCGTATCCGGAGGCTGCAGAAAGCTCCAGATGCCGGCGCCGCAGACAAGGCGAGGATTGTCCCGGGCGCACGGGAGGCGGGGGATGGGCGGCAGCTCGGGCCGGCGGGCGGGAGACAGGGACTCTGGGCCGAGCCCCCCACTTTACACATGTGGAAGCTGAAACCTGGACAGGGGAAGTGACCCCTGGCGGTGGGTCCGGAGGGACGCGGGGGCGGGTCCTGGCAGCAGCCCTGCCGGGAGAGTGCGGGCGGAAGACGGGGAGGGAGGAAGCCCAGGAGTCCCCCGCGGGACGGAGGCCTGGGGGAACTGGGAGCTGAGCTTTCTGCAGAGGGCCACTAGGAACCTCGGATTGCCCACGGAAGCCAGTCCGCTGGGATCAAAGCCACTTTCTTTGACAGTCCAGCCCACTTCCTCTTCTGCCCGGGGAGAAGCTCCAGGGTCTGCCTTTGTGATCAGAGCATCTTAACAAAGACCAAAGGAAAATAAGGTTTCTCGTAAGAACACCGTGAGCACATCTTTAAAATGACCCATTTCGTGTCTCCTGCAAGATTTACACCTCCACACTGAGGCCGGAAGTAGTTTTGCCCCTATAAAACATGGCGAAAAGCTTTCTTGTCTCCAAGGAAACGCCACGTAATGAGTCAAAGCGGTGGCGCACGCGCAGAAGTACAAGCCACCGGAAGTGATGGCGCCCCTACCAAAGCCGTGGGTTTATTACGCGTGCGCAGCAGTCTCTTCCGACAGTTGTGTTGTGCAAATGGTGGAGAAGAAAACTTCGGGTATGTGAGCCCCCGCGGTTTGCCCCCTTCCCCTTCCCAAGTCCAAACCAGTCCTAGAATTTTCTTACCTAGTCATTCCTCTTTTTTTTTTCTTTTGAGACGTGGTCTCGCTCTTTCACCTAGGCTGCAGTGCAGTGGCGTAGTCATAACTCACTGCAGACTCGAACTACTGGGATCAAACCTTCCTCCCATCTCAGCCTCCCGAGTGGCTGGAACTGAAGGCCTGAGGCACCACGCCTGGCTAATTTTTAATTTGTTATGTGATGACGGGCTCTCGCTATGTTGCCGAGGTTGGTCTCCAACTGTTGGCCTCAAAGCGATCCTGCCGCGTGGGCCTTCCAAAGTGCTGGGATTACAGGCGTGAGCTGCCGCGCCCGGCCCCAGCTATTCCTCTTAAATCCCTTACTTAGCCCTCGGGTCCTGGCGTTGACCCTTCATTCACGTTTTATTGATGCCTGCTCCAAACCGGGCGCTGGGGATGAAGAGGAGAAAGATCCCTGTTATCCAAGCATTGGCTTTTTCTGGAAGGGAGACAGAAACGCAGACTTACCACTGTATTTCACTGTGATTTGTGCTATGGCAGAGGGAGGCAGAGCGCCTGCGAACAGGGAGGCGTGGCATCTAGCCCAGGTTCTGGGGGGCAGGGGACTGTGAAAGCTTGAAGGAAAAACGAAAAAGCTTGAATTGAGTCTTGAAAGTCTAGTTAGGGTTTCTCTCTGGGAACCTCACGTGCAAAGGCAGTAAAACAAGAAAAAACCTAGTGCCTTAGGAAACCAAGTCCACAGTTTGGATCTTACAGAGTGATAAGAAAGGATGGAAAACTGGGGAAAGGTTACATTTTGAAAGGCATTATACACACTGCCCAGGAGTTTGAACTCTGTGGGGAAGCACTGGAGAGCTAGCAAAGGCTTTTTTTTAGATGGAGTCTCGCTGTGTCACCCAGGCTGGAATGCAATGATTCTATATAGCTCACTGCAGCCTCAACCTCCCATGCTCAAGTGATTCTTCCGCCTCAGCCACCTGAGTAGCTGGAACTATAGGTGGGTGCAGGCCGCCATGCTGGGCTAGTTTTTATATTTTTTGTTGAGATGGGTGTCTCACTATGTTGCCCAGGCTGGTCTTGAACTCCTGAGCTCAGATGATCCTTCTGCCTCGACCTTCCAAAATGCTAGGATTATAGGCATGAGCCACTGCGCTTGGCCTTTTCAGTTTTTCTTTTCTTTTCTTTTTTTTTTCTTGAGTTGGAGTCTCGTTCTGTCCCCCAGGCTGGAGTGCCGTGGGGCAACCTCGGTTCACTGCAAGCTCCGCCTCCTGGGTTCACAGCATTCTCCGGCCTCAGCCTCACGAGTAACTGGGACTACAGGCGCCCGCCACCACACCCAGCTTATTTTTTGTATTTTTAGTAAAGATGGGTTTTCACCGTGTTAGCCAGGATGGTCCTGATCTGCTGACCTCGTGATCCGCCTGCCTCAGCCCCCCAAAATGCTATGATTACAGGCATGAGCCACTGCACTTGGCCCTCAGTTTTTCAAAGGCATCGCAGTCTCCCAGCCATTACTGTTTTCATGTTGGCCTCAAGGCCTGAAATACCCTGCTGTCTCCCCTAGCCAGGCCATTCACCAGTTAGGCCTTAACCTAGACTTACTTTCTTCTGGGAGGTCTTCCCTGACTACTCCAAGGCCAGGTTGGGCGTTTCTGTCCTGGGCTCCGCAGCACTTTATACTTCCGTATCCTAGCCTACTCCATGCTGTACTTTGTTTGTTTGTTTGATTAATCATTTGTGTTGGCCACTGGACTGTAAGCTTTTGTATCCCTAGAACCTAGAGCACTGCCTGGCATTTGGAAGGGAGACAGAGTAGTACGGTGATCACAATCGTCGTTTTTTTGTTTGTTTGGTTTTGGGTTTTTTTTTTTTTTTTTTTTTTGAAACAGGGTCTTGCTCTGTCGTCCAGACTGGAGTGCAGTGGCACAAACACAGCTCACTGCAGCCTTGAGCTCCTGGGCTCAATTAATCCTCCCGCCTCAGCCTCCTGAATAGCTGGGACTATAGGTGTGTGCCACCACGCCCAGCTAATTTTTGTATTATTTTGTAGAAATGGGGTTTTGCCATGTTGCCCAGGCTGGCCTCAAACTCCTGGGCTCAAGCCATCCACCCACCTTGGCCTCCCAAAGTGCTGAGATAACAGGCATGAGCCACTGCGCCTGGCAAGGTCATGCTTTTTGATGCTGGGCAGTTCTTTGACTTCTGACCTGGCCACTTGCTAGCTGTGTGAACTTTGGACACATTTCTTAATCTTTGAATGTTGGTAAGTTGGGGATGGAATGATACTGTCCCATACAGCTGTTATAAGGGTTAAACAGTTCAAGCGATGCAAAGAGCTGAGCACGGTGCCTGGCTCATAGTAAGTGTCCACCAAGTGATAGCTACTGGGGCTGCTGCTGTTATTATTATGGTTAACAGGTGGTTAACGAATAAAGAGATGTATTATGTAAAATTATCAGAATCTGGCAAATAGCTGATAAGGCAATGAGGAAGAGGTTTTTTGTTTTTTGTTTTTGAGCCAGGGTCTCGCTCTGTCGCCCAGGCTGGAGTGCAGTGGCGCGATCTCAGCTCACTGCAACCTCTGCCTCCCAGGTTCAAGCGATTCTTCTGCCTCAGCCTCCCGAGTAGCTGGGATTACAGGCATGTGCCACCACACCCCGCTAATTTTTGTGTTTTTAGCAGAGACCAGGTTTCACCACATCGGCCAGGTTGGTCTCGAACTCCTGACCTGAAGTGATCTGCCTACTTCAGCCTCCGAAAGTGCTGGGATTGCATGGGTGAGCCACTATGTCCAGCCAAGGAAAGAGGTTCAAAATAACTTCTAGGTTTCTAGTTTGGATGTCTGCATAGATGGTTCTATTCACTTAGAGAGAATCTGCAGGAGAAGCAGATTTGGATGGGAATTTTTTTTTTTAATTTTGAGTTGCAGTGTCCACGGGGCCAGTCAGTGACTTTTTTCTTTTTTTCTCTTTTTTTTTTTTTTTGTTTTGGGGACAGTCTTGCTCTGCCACTCAGGCTGGAGTGCAGTAGTGTGATTACGGCTTGCTGCACACCGCAGCCTCAACCTCCCGGACCCATGCAATCCTCCCACCGCAGCCTCCCAAGTAGCTGGGACTGCAGGAGTGTGCAACCACGCCCAGCTTATTTTTCAGTGTTTTGTAGAGATGGGGTTTGTCTATGCTGCCCAGGCTGGTTTCTAACTCTTGGCATCAAGTGATCCTTTAGCCTCACAAAGTGCTGAGATTACAGGCGTGTGCCACCACGCCCGGCCTCACCAGGCGCTGCCTGCATGGCCAGTTCTGGAGCCCAGGAGCAGGTTCTGGGTTGAGGGAGTCACCCTGGGAGTTATTTGCTTGTGGGTGATCATCAGAGCCCTTTGTTTGGGTGCGAAATCCCAGGAAGAGTGCGTAGACTGAGCAGAGAAGGGGGCCAGCCACCTCCATAGAGGCAGGGAGAGCAGCCGAGCTGGAGCGGGAGGATTGCTAGACATGGAGAAGGCCTGCAGTCTTGTCAAGGAAGCAAGCAAAGGGTCTCTTTCTACTCGATGAAGGTAGTCAGCACCGCCACAGGGTGGACAGGGCTCAGGTCCCAGGAGGAGGAGGAGGAGGAGGAAGGCACACTGGAGCCTGGACTGTGGGTGGTCCCCCTGCAGGTGTCAGATTTCGGGGTCGAGGAGAGGATGGGAGGTGAAGAAGCAACACTGTCACATGAGTTATTCTGAAGGAGAAGGAGCCGTGAAGCCGAGTAGACGCATGAGTGTTACCAGCTTTTTGATGGAAAGGAAAGTGCCGGTTGAGGAGGAGGGGTTGAAGATGGAAGAGGGAGGGAATGGGCTGGAGGTGAAGGCTCAGGTTCAGTGGTGGGACTTAGGGGACCCCGGGGCAGGGGTGTGCCCACTTGGCATCATGTTTGCGGGTGGGTGGCCTGGAAGATGAACGTGTCCAAGCGTGGGTGGCCCCTGGTTCCTTTGAGGTAGGAGGTGAGATGCTGAGTGTGAGGGCCATGTGCATTGAGGGCTTAGGACAACCTGGAAGCCCCAGGGCGCCATGACCTCCCCAGTCTGCAGTGAGCTGTCTCTAGGAGGGGGCTCCTGGAGAAAACAGGCGGGAGAGACTGAAAGGGTCTCAGCTGACGGGACAGGAAGCATGGGCCCGGGGGCTGGCCTGGGAGGAGACGAGGGGACCCAGGCCTTGGCGATGGGGATGAGATCAGAGAGCTGCAGCTTCCACCCTGGGTGCCTTCCTTGCCCTGCCCAGAGCGGCAGCCACACTGCTCTTTCTCAGAAGCCCTGTAACTTTGTGTGCCCTGCCCCATCCAGTTCGCTCCCAGGACCCCGGGCAGCGGCGGGTGCTGGACCGGGCAGCCCGGCAGCGTCGCATCAACCGGCAGCTGGAGGCCCTGGAGAATGACAACTTCCAGGATGACCCCCATGCAGGACTCCCTCAGCTCGGCAAGAGGCTGCCTCAGTTTGATGATGATGCGGACACTGGTGAGGCGGATGGAGGAGGAAGCAGGGGATGGGACTGAGAGGAGGGCAGGAGAGGTCCGCCCAACTCAGGCTGCGGGAGGACCCAGGAGCTAGCTCCTGGTGCCTCTGCCGGTGACTGGCTCCCATGGCTGTGAGCAACCACACCCCCTTTCTGTGCCTCAGTTTCCTCTTGTGTATGTGAAATAAACAAGAGAGACTGGATGAGCTCTGACATGAAGCCTTAGGCTTGGGGGCATGGAGGTGACGGCTGGGATTGGAGAATTGGGGTGGAGGGCAGAGGCTGGTAGTGAGGGACCAACTTAGAGCCAGGAGGGCAGGGCCAGGTGTGGTGGCTCATGCCTATAATCCCAGCACTTTGGGAGGCTAAGGTAGGCAGATCACTTGAGGTCAGGAGTTCAAGACCAGCCTGGCCAACATGGTGAAACCACATCTCTACTAAAAATACAAAAACAAAATTAGCCAGCATGGTGGTGGACACCTGTAATCCCAGCTACTCAGGAGGCCAAGGCAAGAGAATCACTTGAACCCGGGAGATGGAGATTGCAGTGAGCCAAGATTGCACCACTGCACTCCAGCCTGGGTGACAGAGTGAGACTCTTTCTCAAAAAAAGAACCAGGAAGGCACATGGGCACAGGGAGTGATGAACCAGAGAAAGCTGCTGTCTTTCTGGGCAAGTGCCAAGCAACTGATTGCCTTTGACCCCTAGGAAAGAAAAAGAAGAAAACCCGAGGTGATCATTTTAAACTTCGCTTCCGAAAAAACTTTCAGGCCCTGCTGGAGGAGCAGGTGAGAGGAGGGTCGGCCTGGGAGGACCTCACAGGGAAGGGGTGAGCCTGGCCCCAGCAGGTGTTTGCTGCACGGGTGGGTGGAGGAGTCTTAGAGCCGGCCCCTTGTCTCTGCAGAACTTGAGTGTGGCCGAGGGTCCCAACTACCTGACGGCCTGTGCGGGGCCCCCATCGCGGCCCCAGCGCCCCTTCTGTGCTGTCTGCGGCTTCCCTTCCCCCTACACCTGTGTCAGCTGCGGTGCCCGGTACTGCACCGTGCGCTGTCTGGGGACCCACCAGGAGACCAGGTGAGTGTGAGACCTGCTGTCCACACCCACTGCCTCCTTCCCACAGCCTCCCCAGACCTCTCTCCCCTCATCCTGGCTTCCTCTCTGTCTGCAGGTGTCTGAAGTGGACTGTGTGAGCCTGGGCATTCCCAGAGAGGAAGTGCCGCTGTGCACTGCCCGGCCTTCAGAAAGACAGAGTTTCATCACCCAGTGGAGGGGGAGCTCTTCCTGGACCGAGGGAGAAGCCGCTCATTCACCCAATGAAACTGTGTCTTATCTGCCAGGAAAGACCAACCTCACTCCTGGGAACTGTCTGGCAGGTAGGCTGGGCCCCCAGTGCTGTTAGAATAAAGAGCCTCGTGCCGGAAGCCTGCCTGTTTGGTCGTGGTGTGTTTGAGGTGATGGCGATGGGTCACCTGTCTCTCCTGCTCACGGCTCCATCTCTTCCTCCTGCCTCCCACTCACCCCTGCCACTGTCCGCCCCTCTGTGTCCCTGATCATGAGAGATTCTGTCCCATTCTCCTGCCACCCCCGAGCCCCTGCCCTCCTTGGCTACTTTTCTAAGTCTTTTTGGTTATTGATTTAGTTGTTTAAACTATTTTATTTATTTATTAGAGACAGAGTCTCACGCTCTAACCCAGGCTGGAGTGCAGTGGTGCAGTCTCGGCTCACTGCAACTTCCGCCCCCCAGGTTCAAGGGATTCTCCTGCCTCAGCCTCCCAAGTAACTGGGATTACAGGTGCCCAGTACCATGCCCAACTAATGTTTTTGTATTTTTAGTAGAGTTGGGGTTTTGACGTGTTGGCCAGGCTGGTCTCGAACTCCCAACCTCAGGTGATCCACCCGCCTCGGCCTCCCAAAGTGCTGAGATTATAGGCATGGGCCACCGCGCCCGGCCATAATTTTCCTTTGTATTTCTCCAATTGCTATATTTTCAAAGTACAGCTAGGCTCCAGGGATGGGTGACAGGGAGATGGCAGGAGGACTGTGGAACAGGTGCAGAATGCTACCCCGGAGGGAGCTGGGCCTGTCTTTGTCTTAAGGTACTTAAGCAAAGGGGAGTGGTTGGGTCCTTATCCTTGGTGCTGCCAGACCAAGGGAGCAGTTGTCCTTAGGAAACCCCTGTTACCAGGAGCTGCACTGTGTGAAGTTATTAGCAGTACGGAAAACCCAGAAGTTTCTGGGAAACATGGCAGAATTCATGGTATAGATCTAATTTGTCCAACCTGCAGCCCACATGTGGCCCAGGATGATTTTAGTGCAGCCCAACACAAATTCGTAAACTTTCTTAAAACATGAGATTCTTTTGCGATTTTTTTTTATTTTAGCTCATCAGCTATCGTTAATGTTAGTGAATTTTATGTGTCTCCCAAGACAGTTCTTCTAGTATGGACCAGGGAAGCCAAAAGAGTGGACAGCCCTGGATTAGAGGCCCCTGGTCTTGGTGGCCCTGGGTGCTGTGACACATGTGAACTTCTTATACCCATACCTTGTCTAAATGAATTGCAAGCTATAATCTCGTAAGGTCCTTTTGGTTGCTGAACCCTGTTAACCTCATAGCAAAGCAAGTGCTTAGTAAGTATCCGTTGAACAGATGGCCTCATTAAGATATTAGAGAGATCCAGCAAAGTCAGTGTTAGGCACCATCTTTCTTTCTTTCTTTTTTTTTTTTTTCTGAGATGGAGTCTCGCTCTGTTGCCCAGGCTGGAGTGTAGTGGCACCATCTCAGCTCACTGCAACTTCCACCTCCCAGGTTCAAGTGACCTCATGCCTCAGCTTTCTGAGTAGCTGGGATTACAGGCGCCTACCACTATGCCCAGCTAATTTTTGTATTTTTTTGTAGAGATGAGGTTTCACCTTGTTGTCCAGACTGGTTTTGAACTTTTGACCTCAGATGATCCACCCGCCTCAGCCTCCAAAGTGGTGGGATTACAGGTGAGAGCCACCATGCCTGGCCAGTCACCATCTTAGGCCTTCACTTTTGGGTTCTTTCCTGGGAGTTGGCTCAAGTATTCGCCAGGGTTTTCCTGAGGAACTGCCTCCCTTTCTCTGAAGACTTGCAGCTGGGCACGTCGTACTGGTTTTGGTGTCAGCTTCATGTTGCGGGGCTGATGTCAGGATTCAGAGACAATCCAGGTGAGGTGGTTTTTCAAGATGGCTCAAAATTCTTTGTCCTCCCATTAAAAAGTGGAGTGTTATGGCTGGGCGCGGTGGCTCACACCTGTAATCCCAGCACTTTGGGAGGCTGAGGTAGGCAGATCACTTGAGGTCAGGTGTTTGAGACCAGCCTGGCCAACATGGTGAAACCCTATCTGTACTAAAAATACAAAAATTAGCTGGGCATGTTGGCGTGTGCTTGTAGTCCCAGCTACTCTAGAGGCTGAGGCAGCAGAATCGCTTGAACCTGGGAGGCGGAGGTTGCAGTGAGCCGATATCGCACCACTACTCTCCAGCCTGGGCAATAGAATGAGACCCTGGCTAAGAAAAAAAAAAGGCCAGGCGCAGTGGCTCATGCCTGTAATCCTAACACTTTGGGAGGCCAAGGCAGGTGGATCACCTGAGATCAGGAGTTTGAGACCAGCCTGGCCAACATGGTGAAACCCCATGTATACTAAAAGAACAAAAATTAGCCGGGCGTGGTGGTGAGTGCCTGTAATCCCAGTTACTTGGGAGGCCGAGGCAGGAGAATTGCTTGAACCTGGGAGGTGGAGGTTGAGCTGAGATCTTGCCATTGCACTCCAGCCTGGGCAACAGAGTAAGACTCTATCTCAAAAAAAGAAAAAAAAATTAGCCAGGCATGATGGCATGTGCCTATAATCCCAGCTACTCAGGAGACTGAGGCAGGAGAACAGCTTGAACCCGGGAGGCGGAGGTTGCAGTGAGCTGAGATCGCACCATTGCATTCCAGCCTGGGCAACAGAGTGAAACTCCGTCTCCAAAAAGAAAAGAAAAGACTATTTCAGGGCTGAACAACACCATCTGTGCTTCTCCGTGGCGTCCTAGGCCGGGATTCCCGTCCAGCTTGCACTGTCAGCACAATCTCTTTGGATTCTTTCCTAACTTAGCTGACTGTTTCATATTTTGTGGTTATAAAAAGAGGCACATTGGTTCTGCTCAATGTAAGATTTCTTTCCCCAGTGACATACTCCGCCTTCTAAAATGACCTTGAGAGGACAGGGCTGGACCCTGAGGGCCTCTGGTTGCTCTCTGATGCCATCCATGACATTCTCTAGGAAGCTGAGTCCAGGGTCTTTGTACCCGCATTGAAAAATCATAATTTGGCTGGGCATGGTAGCTCACGCCTGTAATCCCAATAATTTGGGAGCCTGAAGCAGGCGGATCACTTGAGGTCAGGAGTTTGAGACCAGCCTGGCCAACATGGTGAAACTCAGTCTATACTAAAATTACAAAAATTAGCCAGGTGTGGTGGCTCATGCCTGTAATTCCAGCTATTCGGGAGGCTGAGGCAAGAGAATTGCTGGAATCCAGAAGGCAGAGGTTGCAGTGAGCTGAGATTGCGCCACTGCCCTCCAGCCTGGGCGACAGAGCAAGACTCGGTCTCAAAAAAAAGAAAAGAAAAAAGAAAGAAAACCATAATTCCCCAAGGAAAGCCTGAAACAATTTTGCCAGCTTCCTTCGTGAGGGAAGATTTTTTTCCGACCTTGGGAGACACCTGGTCTTTGGGAAATCTGTACTATGGTAGAAAGTTCTAGAAGGTAAACCTAGTGTCATGAGATAGGGGCAGCACCATGCTTTTCTGGGAGCACAGAGGAGGAAGAGGTTGGTGCCAGGATTTGGAAGTCTGGACACGGGGGTGGTTACTCCTAAGAACCTCAATGAGGCTGGGTGCTGTGGCTCGGGCCTGTAATTCCAACACTTTGGGAGGCTGAGGCAGGAGGGTCTCTTGATCCCAGTGGTTCGAGACCAGCTTGGGCAACATACAGAGACCCTGTCTCTACAAAAAAATTTAAAAATTAGCCATGTATGGTGGTGTATGCCTATAGTCCCAGCTACTCAGGGGAGGATGGCTTGGGCCTGGGAGGTTGAGGCTGCGGTGGGCAGTGATCACTTTACTGCAGTCCAACCTGGGCAACAGAGCGAGACCCTGTCCCAAAAAAAAAAAAAAAAAGATCTTGATTGTAATTGATGTGAGTTAGGAGAGCCAAGAATTCTGGGAAGCAGGGCAGTTGTGTCTTCAGTCTTGGAGAAATCCTGGTTTGAGTGCTTACTAGTGGTGTAGCTTGGACAGGTCACTTCACCTCTCTGATTCTGTTGGAGCCATGCTGCAGCTATTGCAAGGATTCAATACACACCTAGCCCGAGGCCTGGCTTCCAGTGAGTACGCAGCAAATGCAAGCTCTTGATGATACTGCCAAGACCTAAAGCATATTGTTGAGTTTTTCACAGCCAGCTCCCTGGGGACTAACCCCAGCACCTGGCCCAATTGTCAGGTAGTCAGCAGTTTACGTTTCTATTTTTGAGACGGGTGTCACTGTCGCTCAGGCTGGAGTGCAGTGGCGTGATCTTGGCTCACTGCAACCTCCACCTCCCAGGTTTGAGTGATTTCTCGTGCCTCAGCCTCCTGAGTAGCTAGAATTACAAGTGCCCGCCCCATGCCCCACTGGTTTTAGGATGTTTTTTATTTATTTATTTTTTGTTTCTTTTTTTGAGACGGAGTCTCGCTGTCTCCCAGGCTGGAGTGCAGTGGTGCCATCTCTGCTCACTGCAAACTCCGCCTCCTGGGTTCACGCCATTCTCCTGCCTCAGCCTCCCGAGTAGCTGGGACTACAGGCGCCCGCTAGCACTCCCGGCTAATTTTTTTGTGTGTGTGTGTTTAGTAGAGATGGGGTTTCACTGCGTTAGCCAGGATGGTCTCGATCTCCTGACCTCATGATCCGCCTGTCTCGGCCTCCCAAAGTGCTGAGATTACAGGCGTGAGCCATGGCGCCCGGCCATTTATTATTATTATTTTTTTTTGAGACAGAGTCTCACTCTGTCACCCAAGCTGGAGTGCAGTGGCGCGATCTCAGCTTACTGCAACCTCTGCCTCCCTGTTTTAAGCGATTCTCCTGCCCCAGCCTCCTGAGTAGCTGGGATTAAAGGCACCCGCCACCACGCCCGGCTAATTTTGTATTTTTGGTAGAGATGGGGTTTCATTATGTTGGCCAGGCTGGTCTCGAACTCCTGACCTCAGGTGATCCACCTGCCCTGGCCTCCCAAAGTGCTGGGATTACAGGTGTGAGCCACTGCGCCCGGCCAGTGGTTTACATTTGTGTTTGCTCCTAGGCTGTGGGTTCTTTGAGGGCACAGGCCCACTCCTGCTTCTAGCAGGGAAGCAGCTCAGTATGTGTTCTGAAAAAGGGCAAAT